AGAAAATAAAAAATTCAAAAGTGTTTGTAATTGTTTTCTAATGAAATCTTGTTAGGTGGACTATTATCACATGGCATATCACATTTTGATGTCTTTCTTCAATTAACATTTTGCAGTTCCTGACAGGGCTTCCCTAAATCACTTTTAAAGACTGGAAGCCTTTTCAGAAATATCAGACCATAAGGAATAAAGTAGTGTTTTTTCATAAAAATTGCATTTTCATTTTATGACTCTCCACTGATGATGTGTTAACTTTGTCCCTAAATGACTTAACAAGAAATAGAGATAATAAATATATTTCCAAGTGCACACTGGTTACTTAATTATGTTTATCTTATTATTAGTTCTTTCCCAAACTACTGAAAGAGAAAAGGCAAAATGTTTTCCTAAGTATGATATGATATTTTCTTGCATTTCCCCTTTAAAACTAGACAGATTGTCCACTATATTTTCTTTTCTTTAGCTTTTTTTTATTTTTTAATTGGAAAGCTGTATGCAACCTAATATCTGCCTGCTTCTGTTATAACAGGGTTATTTGCTTGACTTTTTCCATTTTCATATGTGCTTTGGGATCCTTTATTAAGTCATTGTTCTGTAACTGCATTCTATTATAATTTTGCTCATTTTTAATAATACGTATGATATTTCTGCTGCCCTGAAGGACTCCCATGAAAATTAAACGTTGAAATAAAATGAGCATTCAATGCTTCTTTCTATTAGGCTAGTTAATATTTTATAAAATATATTTTATCTGTGAGTCTTTCAAAACCTGAACTCGAAAATTACTTTCTAAATATTATAAGCACTAACAAATACCCCTTGACTGAATAGCAAAGCTGAAATTCAATTTGTGTGACACTTGCTATTCATAAACAGTTTGAGCTTCACTCTTATAGTTCATGATGTTAGCTGAACCCTTTTGACTGAGTAACAGAACTAGATTCAGTAAGGGAATCATACCTTGCTATATATGAAAACCTTTTGGACTGAGCTTCTCTTTTTCTTTTTCAAATACAGAGCCCATTTCTGGAGACTTAAATTGTTCAAAATGCATATCAATTTTAGGGCCAGACCAGCATCATCCTGCCTACAATAAGAAAAGGCTGTCAGAGATACATGCACACAGTTTTCTTTGAATCCAGTGAGATTTCTGTCTGCAAAGAAAGAATACAGCTATAGATGCTTAGAAATTACAAATGCATACAATTAGAATTCATTTCAATTTTCTAAGATATAAGTATTGAATAAATTCATTGAGACTGCACTGTGATGCCATAAAAATAAGTTTCTGCTCAACAAAAATTAAGTAGCCCAAATTTGTAAATTCAATACTATTTCCAGTAGTAATTTCCAAGCAACATTTTCCCAGCCTCAAAGCAATCTTGGATCCATTGGGTCGTGTCTATTCATGTATGTAAGTCTTTCACCTAAAAGTCTGTCTCAGCTAATTGGCTCACAGGTTAACCCTGTTACCTTCATACTCTTTTTCTGCTGATTGTGTCTATACAAAACCATTGTTTACAGAAGGATTTTTTAGAGTTGTAGCATACTAAACTGTAACCAGCTACTTTATGTATAATGCATAAATGAGTGTAGACTACAGCTCATTTTACTTAGCTGTGTTGTTCCTTCAATAATAATGGAAGAAAAAAGCCATGCAAAATTTATGTTTATCCCTAAGTTTGAAGATGCAGCATGATTTGAATATACTTCAGACAAGTTGCATAAGGTATGACAGTAGTACCTTAATTTCATCCTTCCCCCTTTAAGAAAAGCAGAAATTAATTTGATTTCAGTAGAAAAAAGGTCTGATTGAAAGAAAAGAAAAAAAATCTGACTTGAGACAAGACTGGATTCATAGCTGTTTGTTTTACTCTTAGCTGTAGTAAAAAGTTTTTTAGTGATCCTGGTCATATCACTGAGATGTAGGCTGGTGCCATCAATTATTATTTAAAGAACGGTTTAAAACATGGATATAGTACTCATCGTAGGTGTCAGAATTCCGTGTTTAGTTCCTTATGTAGCCTCAGTGGATAAAAACTCTGTCATTCCTTTTAAGTGTGTGCCTATTAGTTAAGACACACTACAGGCTATCTGGATATTCTCCAGTTGCTATGTTGTAACTTTGCCCTTGTTGAGAAAATTATTCAAAGAAACTTGAACAAAACTTTTAAATAAGGGATTAGAGTACTCACTTGAAGGCAAAGGAACCTGGGTTCCTATTTCTGTTTCCGTAGTTCAAAGACTATTTAATGGAAATAGCCTTAAGATGAGAATGTTCATCCAAAAATAGGTGCTTCATTCTTTCCTACAAAACAGAAAAAAAGAACTGTATCCTACTTTCCTGGTGCCATGGTTTCAGATTTTGCTGCTGATTATGGAATGGGTGGTCAAATGCATCACAATTTGTGGCAGGCATGTCTTAAAACCTCCTGATTTTGTGTTGAGCTCAGGCCTGCGGTGGATGGTTGGTGTTGCAGAGCAGAGGAAGATCCCCAGGGATTTAGCAGGAGTTCACAGCAGGCCCCTGTTGATAGGTGCTGTGCTGCTTGCATTCAGGAAACTTCAGGCATGCCTCTAATGAGAAGCACTAACCTCCTGCAAACTCAAATCTACAGTTTCTTCTGGGTTTAAGTGCCTCCAAGTTTAGGCGGCAGCTGTTGCTTTGCTTTTCTGATTACAGTTTCTGCCTAAACATCTCCATTTTCTCCAAATCCTTCTTTAGATGTTTTAATCCATTACTTGCTCTATCCCTTAATCTCTGTTCTGCTCACCTTCTCCTATGTAAATGGGAATATTCTTGCTTCTTTCACCTCACAGAAGGTATTCTGTGTTGCCTGATAGCAATTATATAGGACAAGGGCTGCCTCCAGGGGAGACATCTCTCCAGGTATAAGTGTAATACAACGAACATGGGATGTGGGGGTACTGTTAAACACAAATAAACTTCAGTAATATGACTGCATATTCATTTCATTTCACTTTCCTGATCCGTCGACCATCATTGGTGTTTTATATACAGTGCTATAAGAATGGTAATTTTTTGTATGTCATCAAGTTTGGAGGGTAATAATCCACAACAGAGATGAAATTCTGTGTGTGAAAGTGTGGCCCATGAAGACTCTGTGCAGTGTTTGAAGAATATGAGAGGATTGCTAATGATAAAAGGCCTTTGAAGAGACTTTGATCCCCGGGATAAGCTTGTAGAGATTGTACTGTGGCCATTTCATGGGGAGATAATCACCTGAGGCTGAGATGGTAACCTATGTCCAGAAAATGGTGAAATTCACAATTATACAGCCCTGATTTGGCCAGTGAGTCTTTTAGCTCAATTAAAAAATAAAAACAAAAAACAACAGAAAAAAACCAAAGAAACAACCAAAAACCAGAAACAAGACTGTTTATAAATTCTGAAGTTTTTTAAACTTCATCTGGCATTAAACCTCCCCCTGCACCCGCCCCAAAAAAATAACCTATGAAAGTGTAATTTTCTATTAAGGCAATATTTTTGACCTGAAGAATGTTTTGGGTTTTTTAATATGCACTTTTTAAAGTGGAAAAATGAGATACTTATATATGAAGCATAAGTAAGTGGAAAGTGAAATTTTCTTTTGAAAGATGAGGGTTTTTTTCTCATTAATTATAATGAATAAATGCTAATGTCAAAACAAAATATTTAGAATCTGCGAAAATGCTGAATATTTTTGAACTGAAAAGTTTTTCTGAATTTAACTTGAACTTGAAAAATGTTTTGTATGACTGAGTAATATATTTCTTGGTACAGAAATTATTTCCCCCTCCAATAAAAAAAAAAAAAGAAGCTGTTTTAAATAAAATATCCTGACAGCAGCACGTGAGCTGGGTTTATAGCTGAAGTCATACATAGTATTGGATGCATGAATACTCTTCCAAACCAGAAACAGATAATTCCTTGAAACCCCAGAGATACCTGTACAGGGAAATTTGGCTTCGATAACCTACCCACACCAAATATGATTAAGCCTTATTATGTGTTTAGTTGAGGATTAGAGATAAATGAAGCTAATAAAGAAGAAAGAGTCTGCAAAGATACGGTGGTAATAAGTTAAACTGAAAATGGTGTAAATCATATATGCTCATCTCAACTCTGGGCTCATGATTCTTAGTGCATAATTTATTTGACACATTATTTCTTTCTTGTCTTCCCCCTCCCTCCCTTCTGTTCACAAATAGCTTATGAGAAAATAGCTGCTTTATCAAATGTATTAATTGAGCAAAACTGTTTATTTGAATAATTTTCATTAATAGAAATTGCATCTTGTTTTCATATTCACTTTCTAGATTATTACTTGTGCTCACAAGCAAAGGCTTGAAAAAGTATTTATAGTATGGAAATGTTTCTGTCAGATAACTCAAACTTCTAAGTTCTCTTTGTAAATGAAACAGTGGGAATTTTCATGGTATCCAGATAAAACCCATCAGTTCAAGATAGCTGGAAGAAACCAAATCACATCCAAAGGAGAGATAAAACACTATATTTTTTTAGACAAAAATTTTTAACCCTTCAGAAAAAAAGAGAGATTAATACAATCTAATGCTCAATGTATTTTTTGGAATAAGCAAATAAATTCATTACTTTCCATATATGGAAATAGGAAAAAAATTTTAAAAAAAGCACTTTGGTATATTCATTATTTAATCTGCACCATTCCTGAGCAATATCTCTGTGAGTATTGGTCGATCACAAACATCCTTTTGAAGTTACAAGTCTTTAGAGCTACAGAGTCTATAATCTCCCAGAGATTCTTACCATTTTATTACTGCTTTCTAATATTCTAATCCTAATTTCAAACATTGTTGCAGTCTAAACACATAATTTCTTGTTCTATATCTTGGGTCATGGAAAATAATTTATTCCTTCTCTCCTACCTGCAGCCTTTTATATATTTGAGAAATTTCTGCTTTTCTTTTTTTTCTAGGTTAAAGAATCATAATTCATTCATGTTTTTCTTTCTCTCCAGTTATGTTTTCTAGAATCCCAGTTGTTCATACTATTCCACTGAGCTCTCTTCAATTTTAAATCTTTCACAAACTGCGGTGTTCAAAATTGGAAAAGAAACCCAGCTGAGGCTTGAACGGAGCAGAGTAGAACAGAAGAATTGTTTATAGGCTATCTGACTGTTTCTAATTTATTAGTCTATGCCTTTTTGCATCACAGTGGCATTGTTCACATTTAGATTGTCACCCAACTACACCCTTTTCTGTGAAACTGTTGCATTATCAGGTAATTTCCCACATTCCTGTTTCTGACCTTAAAATTTTGAAATCTGTGAATCTTGTGAATTGCTACAACTTATTTCCATGGTGATTATATTCATAAATTCTTTTGTCTTAGCAGAACTCTGTATCAGTAAGTCTCTTCTTGACAGAACAGTCCTTCTATAAAAACTGAAAGACCCTGGAAAAGAAGTTAAATTCTGCAGAGGGAGATGGAATAAGATTTAAGAAATAGATGATCCACTATAGAGGAAAAATTTATTTGCCATAGCTGATGTCAAGTAGTTAGAAGTCATTGAATCTTTTTCCAGGTATAATACATTCGTAGAAATGCAACGAAAAATGAGTTTTGTACATAATAAGAGTGGACTGTGGAAATTGCTAGTAATGTTTGTTCAGCTTTGTTTTTTTTCCTAGACAATTCAGATTTCCTGAATTAAACTATTTGGGTGGACTAAGATTTAGCAGAAGGGAGTTTGTTCTGGGTTAGACTCATAGAAGTGGTAGCTGGAATGGGTGTGTGGCAGTCCATGTAATGCATCTCCTGTTCAAAGTGAGTCAATCCTGGATTGGTATCAGGTGTGGCTTTTTCTTACCTTGTTTTAGAAAGGATGATGATTTCACCACTATAGACTGCTTAAGTGCTGTGCTATCTGTATTGAGAAAAAAGTTTTCATAATGTCCAGTTTGAATTTCTTAAGCTGCCACTTTCTATAGCTGTTTCTTTTTAAATTGTCTATCATTCAAAAGTGTTTGGTCAGGTCATGTTTGTAATGGCACTCCTTCAGGAGGCTGGCTGCTTTTGGGCTGTGCCTCAGCCTCCTCTTTTCCAGACTAACATTTACATGTTTCTCCATTTATTGTAGGCCATATACTCTAGGCTCCTGAAAAGCTTGTTTGCTTTCAGATGGACTCTTTCTTGTTTCCTGACACTCATTTTGAGCTGTGGAGCCAAAAACTGGACATGTTACTCCAGCTGTAGCCATGTCAATACTATGTATAGTGACATGTTAAGTACTGGCCTCATTTCTAATAGTGTAGCCCATTGTACACTTTATCTCGTTCATATTGGTGGTGCACTTCTGCTCATCTTCAGCTTGGTAATTACTGCAACCCCTAGGACCTTTTGGTCAGGTGCTACTCAGCCAGCTCTGCTTCATGAGGTCATTCCACCCCATGTGCAGAATTTAAGGCTTCTCCCTCCTGAGTTTCACAAACCTTCTGTTGACCCAGTCTTCACTTTTCTCAAGGTTCCTAGAGCTGAATCTATATAACATGGTGTGTCAAACAGTTTTTCAGCAAATTTTCTGAGGGAACATTCTGCTTCATCATCCAGGATGAACTATTGGATTGCTTTCCAGCCCTAGAGTATTTGTTTCATTACCAACTGTTACACCTCAAGCCATTGATGATTGCTTTGGAACCCAGTGCTGCAGCCACTTTTCAGCCCAGTTAAAAGACTTTGTCCCACCACAGTTTCTCAGCCACAAGAATGTAGGGGAAGCCATTGCCAAATGCCTTAGTGCAGTAAAAGTTACAGGAATTGTCACCATTTACCTTCTCAGTCCATCATTTTGTCATAGAAGGCAACCATGGAAGGCAACCAGTTGGCCAGGTGGGATTTGCCTTTGTAAATTGGTGCTGATCTTGTTTGCCTTCTTGTCTTCTTGCATGCTCATAAATGGACAATGTGCATCCTCCATCCCACCAGGGATTGCACTTGCTGTGTTCAGCTTACAATTCCCAGGACTTTCTGTCTGTTTTTTAAAGGTATGATCTGTTATTGCAGTGTTTTCCTAATAGCTAGGAAATAGCTTTATAATTACAGTGGCCAATCTTCCACAGCCTTAGGGCTATTTTCAGGCTCTGCAGATTGAATAATCTAGTTTTACTAAATAATCCCTCTGCCTGGGAGCAGAGGGCTGGGAGCAGGCTTTTCTGGTAAGGGTGAGAAAAACCCAAAGTATTTCAGTTTTCTTGGTCATTCATTGCCAGGTTATTATCCCTGTCCATCAGCATTCACTCATGTAGTTGCTGAATTAATTTTTCTCCATTACTGTTAGGAAAATTAATACCCTAGGTTCATCAAGCACATTGAATGCTGCATTACTTATTACATTAGTAATCATGTAGCATCTCTTTACCCATAGTGGTCTTATTATCCCAAACAAATGACCCTGCTGTTGTGTTCTGTGGCAGAGAACTATGGTCAGTAAGCTTTATGATACTCTATATTTCAGAAATAAAGAGTTGGTATTTCATATTGGTTGACTACATTTAGTGGATACTTTTTACAGTGATGTCTTTCAGTTTCTTTTTGCCAGTAGAATATTAATTGACCACACATGAGATTCTGATTCTTCTCCTTCTTTGGTGCCTGGTTAACATCATCTTTGTCCAGCTTTTCCCTCTAAACCATGAACAAACCACAGCAAAAATTGTGCAGAGATGTGGTGTGAAGGAACCACAAAGGATAAAGTGTGCTCATTCATTCTTTTGGGATGACTCCTACGTGGTCGAGTGATGTGCGATGCCCCCAGTCTCTCTGAGGCCTGGAACATCTGTAGTTCTATGCACAGCACAGAGAATGGTGTTAGCTGAAAACAAATTCTAGCAACCTTTTGTCCAGAGTATGCAAAAACTGGCTTATAGTTTTCTATTCATGTTTAAAATTGGTCAAATTTATTTTCAGTTTTAAAAAGGTGGTAAAAATCACCCTGAGTGCAATTGTGATGTCTGGGCTTCAAAGCATGGTTTGTCTTTATAAAATCAGTTAGCTGACACTTTTTAATGTTAATTTTCTCCTAATTCAATTCTCCCAAATGGTTGAGTTGTTTGATTGAATATTGCCCACCAAAGAAACAGCCTCAGGCAGCATCTGTCATAGAAAATTTTATCCCAATTCATTAATATTCTGCAAAATTATAAGCTATGAAAACAGGTATTTGTAATTTGAAGTATCAGGGAGCCTGAATAGTACATTATATTACTACCTTCCTGCACAAGTAAGTTACTGGTATGTGAATGGGTATTTATTAAAGCTGTTGAACTATTATTTTTTTTCATAAATGGATGCAATAGTTTGGCTCAAAAATGCTCTTGAATCTATGTAATTCTTTGTTACACACCTGGGAACAAAAGATTTGTAATAAAAGTGAAATGGCAGTCTGAATTCAGAATGCCCATGCTTTTGTGTTTTGATGTCTCAGCTTTCATGCTATTTTTATGTTGTTTCTTTCATCTTTAATTTTACCAAGAGATTCATATTAGATGCATTATTAATCCCTGTAACACTGCCTTCCCTTCTTCTGCACAGTGTGAGAGATTTCTGGCTTCATCAGAAATAGTAATGTTTGAGATTATTTTCTACATTTAATATGCGAATAAAAAAATGTGTATTTTCTAAAATCTCCATGCACTGTTATTTTCTTCCAAAGATTTCACTGATGCATTAGGACTGAGAGGCATAAGCAATCACCAAAAGCTTTTAAGCAATGATTTTGGTTGTGTACTTTATAACCTGAGAATTCTCAGCATGCAGCATGTTATAACACATACTGCACTGGAAAATAAACAGAAAAGTGAAGTATGGTAACCGGACTTTCTGTAAGGGTTTCACATAGAAATATGTGAAATAAAACGCAATTCCAATGTGTTGACCAACTGCATAAGAAGCAATTAAATGTCTCACTGATGATGGATAATGAGACCAATTACAGAATGTGTTTTAAAACATGACTGGTACAGTTATGATGCCTGCAACAGTGAGGGGATGCAGGGGAAGGAGAGCAAGGGATTGTGAATGTCTGATGGAAAGACTGATAATTTTGGAGCTGAGGTTTTTTTTTTGGCTGTTGGGTAAAGGGAAAGCTGACTGCAAATACTCCTCCACTTTGTATTAAAATGTGCATCATATTATTTTGATTGTTATATTTATTCTGTAAACAGTATCACAGCTGCACAAACTGGTCAAGGAAAAGGAGCATCATGCATGGTGAAAGTCTGGCCATAGTAAATCTATGTAACTACAATAAAGAGGGAACTCATAGGCCTTCTACATTGTTGATCAATGTTAGCAAAATCAACTGATGGTCATCTGGCTTCCAGCCAGGCAGCAACATCAATAATCCACTTAAACAGAAAATTATTATTGGAGTATTTGGGGCCCAACCCAAACAAATTATTGTTTTTATTATTATTATTATTGCTAGCATAGGGCAGTATGTTTCAGTTTGAGGTAATGTAGCACCTTTCTAGCAGACTGCTTTTCTTCTATTAGAAATAACAATAATTGCATGGATTAATATTTTCTGAAATCTAAGCAATTTGAAATCTCTCATTTACAACAGTGCTGCAGGTCTCCCACCAGCCTTCCCCAGACAGAGATGTGGTTCTGCTCCTGTAATGCTGGTCCCAGATGTGGATTCAAAGCCAATTCAGCTGCTCTTCTGTGAGTCAGACGAAAGTACTGGGAGGTATGGTGGAGCCCCAGTGAACATTCCCCTTCCACAAAACCCAGTGTGGATCTAGAAACAGAACTGACACATCCTCAAAGCACTCTGGCTACACCAATAATTACAGCCCCTCTATGCTTCTGGGTCCATATTTTGGTTCTCAGCTTTCAGTTCAGGTCTCTCTACTCTTGGTGTTCATAGCTAGAAATGAGAAGGGCCCGTGTTAGCAGTGTAGTCCTGCTCTTCTCAGAGTAGTGCATACCCTAAGGTCTGACCTCCAAAGAAGTCCAGTCACTGGTGCTTCAGAGCACAGCACAGAACTCTGAGGTGTGTTCCATGTTCCAAAAATATCATGAAAACCAACTTAAGTTGTACTCTCAGTGAACGTGTACTTTCATCTAAAGACAGAAAAAGCGCTGTTTTCTTTAACAATGCTAAGGTATACAGAAATTAAAGTGTCCAATATGTTTCATTTTCTGTATACATGTAATATATTTCCAGAGATATTTGACTGTTTTATTTCCAGAACAAGTGCCAGCATGATTTGAAAGTGATAATTCCTCCACAGTTTGATTAGAAACAGGCTAATAGGGGTTTAAACTGAGGAGAGAGAATGAATGTTAATTGTTTTCAAATAACATAGTTTAAGCACCACAGTTAGTTTCAAATAACACAGAGGTAATCATTGAAGTGTGTAAACAAAATTTTTTATTTCAGTTACCAGTCATTAGAACTCCAGCTTAAATTAAAAAAAAAAAAAAATCAGACAAATTATGCCAATTTATAATAAGGCAGTTGTACTGAGACTGGCTAGGATTGAGTTAATTTTCTTCATAAACACTTACATGGCAATCTGTTTTAGAAGAGAACTGACAATACACTAATTTTCCAGCAGTGTTTGCACAGCATCAAGGCTTTCTCTGGTTCTCAGTGTGGCCTACTCCAGAGACTAGACTGGAGAATGCACAATGGAAAAGAAGGGGAGATAATCTCAACCATCCAAAGACATCTTCCTTGCCCTATAACATCATGCTCAGCAATAAAAGGGAAAAGAAAGGGTTTTAGGCAGGTTAGCAATCTTTTGCTTGGGAAGTGGTTGAGCATTGTTCTACTGTGGGAGGTGGTGAGCGATTACCTTTGCAACAGTTGGGATTTTTTTGTATTTTTCTCCCTTCTTCCACATATCCTTCATTTATTTACTTTTTTTTTTTTTTTTCCCCTATTGCTTTTATTCTTTCTTTTTCCTCTGTGGGCAGCTGCGCTAATTACAGAGTAGAAGCAGTCTTGGCCTTGATAGGTCACAGCTGTGTCCAGTAAGGATGAGTGTTATAAAAGAGGGAGTGGTTGTGGAAGGAGTTGGTGCTGCATGATGTTGCCCATGGGATTACACGGGGGAAAGGTGGGAAAATTTTACTGTAAGATAATAAACTGCAGATGCTTGCCACCATCTTCAGTGTCAGTCTTTTGAATCCACCGTCAATTGGTGCCCCATGTTAGGAGCAAGCACCGACATTCCCCATCCAGCTGAGAGCTGGGGAAGTGAGCAGTCAGCTGTGTGGTGCTTACCAAACCACCAGGGTTAATCCATAACAGGAAGTACAGAAAGACTGTGGCAGAGCTTCCTTGTTATTAACTTGTTTTATTGACCAGTACTAAATGAGTATAAAATGTCCATGTTCTGCTTTATTTATCCATTACAAGGCAACAGAGATCACTGCTGTTGGTTTCAGTAAAGCTGCTTCTGATTCAAGCTGTTCTACTTGAGATGATTGTCTATTAAGGCTTCAATTAGGTTTACTCTTGTTGGACTCCTCCGTGAAAAATATTTCACAATAGAAAACAAATGTAATTGGGTATAAATCATGATTCACGGAACAACACCTGCTGTTCCAAGTTGGGACTGAAAAACACTAGGAGAGGTGTTAACACAATGTGAGACAAATGCTGAAAAGGTGTAAGTGGCTGTAGCACCATTGTTTTCCATGTGGGTACATGCATTCAGCCTTGTTTATGTGTATTTAGATTGGGGTTTAGCAGAGTTAATTATAAAATTTTTAATAAGAAATATAAATGTGAGGCAGCTGGAGTGCATTCTGCTCTTCTTGGTTTTGTTGTTGCAGCTGATATTTCTCATACAATAAACAAGCTCTGTTAGAAATAGCCTCTTCTTGAAATTTTAATAGTATTTAATCCATAAATACTTCTCTAAATACCTCTGTTTTACTAATCATAATGGAATATGTTCACTGCAAGAGTCATAAAACAGATGAGGCAGTGAAAATGTTTAGTGAACATTAGAACTAATAATCATGATGATGCTAGAGCAGTTGGAGCACAGCACACAAAGATGCTACTGTAAACTCTATGCTCTCTACACAGCAGCAGTGGTAATAGAGGATTGTATAACTGGAATTACAGGCTGCACTGGAATTGGTTTGTGTTAGCAGAGCCAAAAATGACATAAATGTTCATTTGATGTTCAGAATACTTCCTCTTTTTCTGCATTCGTTTTATTTCCTGACCCTTTATAGTGCTTAGCCTGAAGATTTTTGGTTTATTATCACTTTCTTCTTTAGTCTTTAGCTTCAGTTTGTGAAAGAAAGAAGGTTCATCTTTTCTATCACATTTGGAGGTGCAACACTCAGTAGACCAAAAGTGTTATGCTGTACCAGGTCTGAGTACATCACGCAGAGCTGAGCTGCTGACTCACCTGGCTGTGAGGTGTTAGGTGCTCGTACAGAGAGGCACACCTGATATGCTGTCCTCTTTTCACAGGCAACCCAGAAATAGAAATAAGTTTCTGAGTGTGTGAGAACTGAAAATTAAAAAAAGTCTAAATGGAATAAACTCTTGTCATGAAAGAAACAAAACTCTCATTCAAGGCCGTATACATTTAATTAATAGTTGGTCATTTTGGATGACTGATTGTTTGTATATTGCATGCATGAGTATGTGTATTTATGTCTACATGTCTTAGGAGCCCAGTAGAATTGCCATGAATTTGGGATGCACTTTGGTCTGGAATAGCTCCAGAAGAACTTACTAGCTAAGCCTTGCTGGAATTTATGGATAAGAGCAACATTAAGAAAATTAGCAGCAAGACCAGTTATGCTGCAAGAGGGAAGATGGTAAAAAAAATTTAGTAGGCTAAAGGAGAAATTGAATAACTTCATTAAAACAGAATTACAAAGGAAGTGTTTGCTGTGAATTAGATATGTTCCCAGTCCCAGGTGTATATCTTCCAAAATCACCATACCTACCCAGTTGTTCCCCAAGTATCTGTATTTACTTTAAGCTCAGACATCTGTGTATCTGTTGTGAAGTCTTTCTATACAATGTAGAAATTAATTCTAGATTTGATCATACATAATTAACTAATGGTGACCTATACTTCAGAAGATTATCTATTGATATTGTCATAAATTACAGATAACCTGACAAATAATACAGTATAAACTTAATTAGTGCACAGCACGATATGCCTCAGGAAGAGTGTTTCAAATACTGTTTTCCTAGCCCTGATTGATGATTCCTTTTGAGCTTAATAAGTGCTCAAAGCAGGGATCAAAAATTGTGTCCTTGCTAATGTCTTGAATTTATTGAATTACTGTGTAGATTATTGTAACTACTCTAAAGGAATTATTGGCCATGGGTTTATCACTCTTTGAGTGGTTTTTTGGGAAGTTTCTTTTGTCTCAATGATATTCTTCATCCATGCGACATGACAAAAGGTTTTTTGAGAAACTAACTAATCAATTAAAGTGTTTCATATAACACTTCAAACAAATCAAGGGATTCTGGCAATGAAGACAATATACATGCTCAGAAAGGACCTGTAAATAAATAGAAAATAAAGGTGAGGCAGGCAGGGAAATTCAAATCTAAGTAATAACACAAAATAAAGCAAAGCATCAAAACACACTCAGACAAGTAAAATCTAACTAGAGAATACCTTGTTTTCCAGACTGCAGTGGTGGTATTTTGTATTTTGACTATATTTAATGCAAGTTTCTGTTCTAATAATTTAAAATATGTAAAATTATGAGGTTTCATTTTGAGTTAAATGAATCCATCCTTTTTTTTTTTTTTCTTCCTAGGGCCCTCTTCTGCATCTATCGCAATCACAAAATTCCTGAATAGCAAATTGTATTGGATTGAGACTTGGAAAAAGAGTACTAAATAATGCGTCTTGAATAAAATTCAAGAGTTAGTATTTTTAGCAAGTCACCTATAATGGGAAAAGGGAGAAAAGCTTTAGTGTAAGAAGAGGAAAAAAATTAAGCAAAACAAAACCAATTTATCTTGTGTTTGTTATGAAAGTTTTCCTCCTTCCTTCTTAAAAAGAGTGGATCTTATGTTCTTTACTGTGAATGAGTCCAAAAGTGCATTTGTTTTGGTGGGATAAGAAGTACTGAACCTCTCAGTCTGAGTTATTGAGCTGGACAGTTGAAAAGTCCTCTGCCTCTGCTACTGTCCCTCCTAAATGTCTTCAGGGTTCCCTCTGGGGGGTGATAGGTGACAGGGACAAAAGCTACACAGTGACAGTGCTGATAATGAATGTGGATTATGAGAATCCAGTTCTAATCTCAGCCCTCCCTGTGTTTTATTCCTTTTTATAATTACAATCAATTTGAGGTCCACTTTCACTGCCCAGGAGAGTGGTGAGTCAGAGGGCTGTCCCAGCTGCTGAGCAGCAGTCTGGAAGAATCCCCTGGGGACAAGACAGGAGCTGGCTCTGGGTAGAGGGTGAACATAGAGAAAATGTTCAAGACATCCTTCAGTCAGTTTTCTGTCTGGTGGCTTATCAGGGGGCAGTGAAATGAACCTCAGAGTAATTGACAGGGACTTTGCAGATGTCCTGGGAGCCCTTGATCCAGCACCCTGGCACAGCTGGCAGCGGCTCTGTCACCAGGTGAGAGTGGCAGTGTGGCTCAGCCTCTCTGCAGCGCTGTGCTGCAGCTTGCAGAGCCTGCCCGAGCCTTCAGGATGGTCTCAGGAGATGGAGGGAAGAAGAGGGGAGGGGTGCTAATATTCTAGACACTTTGAGAGGCACAGATGTAGCTCCAGCATGAAAAAATACTTAGCTTTTCCAAACACAATGATATTGGACATTCTGTTTATAGCTGTGAATAGATTTTTTTTTTTTTACTTAGTAGTTGAGCTGAAAAGCTTGTCAAATAAATAGTTTAGTGTTGATCCATTGGTTATCTGTTGGTCAAAATTATTTTTGCTATTCATTAGCTGTGTCAGACTCAATATGATTTCAAAGTAATAATAATAATAATTAGCATAAAAATCTATTTAGCAAAACTGTTTAATTAATGAGTTTTTTTAATTTAATGAGCATTTTCCTTCTAAGGTTTTAAATTTCCAGGTGAAATTACTTGCTGTAGTATAAATAAATTGTAAAATGATTTTTTATCTCTTAAAAGTACAGTTTCTGAAAAATTTTTAGGAGCAATGATCATGCATTTGGACTTGAGGAAGATTATGACATATCAGCAAAGACTGAGTTACATGGCATGTAGGCACTCAAAGTAAATGCATATTTACTTTGAGAGCTATTACCAAAGTTAATTTAATTTTGGTACATTAAGAATAGACTGTTGTACAGGTTTCAAATATCATTCTATTTGCTGTACTGTGCAGTGTGTGGCTGCTAAACACTTCTACATGGAGATGAAGAAGAGTGGCTGCTTGCAGTTCTACTTCTGCTCTGTCTTGAAGTAAGCAAGGACTTTAAGCTTGGGCTTACAAGGGCTGGAATTTGTCCTTTCAGGTGACTTGTGAAAGTGGTGTATTATTCCCAGCTAAGAATCCAAATAGGCTGGCCCAGCCAAACTATCCTATTATCAATTTTGTGTTCTGTATTTTCTCACAACTCTCATGTGAGGACACATGGCATGATTAGATCTGTAACATGTAACTACTATTTGTATAATAACCTACAATTATTATTTGAATAATATGTAACTAGTATTTGAATAATATGGATATTGTCTGTTTTTATAAACAATAAAAAATTGTTTTCTGGTAGATCAAAAGAAACTCTATTTAAAATATTTTGCTCATGTCAGCAGAAGATGATTTACCCATATACACCTTGCCTTTTCAGAGCTTTAAAAACAGTTTCTGTCCTAGAGAAAGTATAGTAAATTATTTTGGCCATTAAGTGAAAAGGCTAATTTCTTTTTCTTTTCCTTGGACTTCTGATAAAAGGCTGAAGATTATGAAAAGTCCATTGGGAAATTAGTATTTTTTCTCGACTTGTATCCATTCTACATTCCAAAAGGCTCCTGGGTCCACCTATGTTAATTTACTTACAGTAAATTTTTCCTCTTCTCAGTCTTTGATACTTCATGTGTAAGCAGAACACACCTATGCAAAAGTTGACAATCGTAGTTTGTTAGTTCTTTTATGCAGGCAGAATGTTCATGGTAATTAAAGATAATTCAGCACTCAAATATGAACAAAGGAAATGGTAATATGTCTGTCAAAAATTCAGTTCAAGATAGAAAAAAAGAACTTTTAAAAGATACTATAAAATTTTTAATTTCAGTGCCAGACAGTATATGTCAGCTATTCTTTTTAAACCATTCTGTCATGGTTTTTACTTGGTTGTGAAGATTGACTGAAGCTGGGTTAGTTTTCAAGAGCTTAATTGGGAAAAGATAATGCTTCTTCCTGGGTAAATTTTCAAGAAAGAAACCTAAAGAAACAAACAACCCACATGGCTGAGATCAACATTTATTTTTACAGCCACAAAGCTTTGAAAAATATTGAATCTTTGACTTTTGTATTACTCTCTTAGCTACATCAAGAAGTGAAGAAATTTTTTGTCCTTTTTCTTTCAGTAGTAATGCACCTATTCATGCATTTTAAAGGTCAAAACTTTTCACTTTTTCATACCTGTATAAATAAAGCATGAGGGCTGCACAGCTCAAAACTGAGTCTAATAGCCACGCCTTGCTCTTGGAACACCAAGTAGTCATAGAAGTGTAATCTCTCCCTGAAGTGATGCAAGATGGCTAAAACTAATGTAATGGCTCTTCTGTTTCACTGTTTTACTGAAATACCACAGTTCTGAGACATTTTATATTTTAACAGGCCATCCAAAAAATTGAATGACATCCAAGCAATGCACAAGGACTACATA